AGCAACGCTCTTGCCCATAGGAATTCTCTACACGGGCAATCTCCTGGATGACTTTAGTGAAGATACTTTGAGTCAGCTATAAGGGGTAGGGATAGGGGAAACAATCAGTTAGTTCAGTAGCAACACCACCCAGCTCTGAGCTGAACACCCTTCTCCCCAACCATTCCCAATATCAAGCAAGGCTGAGTAAAACACCACTACCCCAACTCCTTCCTAGTCTCCAGGCCCAGCACCTGATTCTCTCGAGCAGATGACTCCATAAATGTCGCACCCCAGGACTCTGCCAACTTCTTCCCTTCTACTGCCTGTACCTCTCTGAAAGCAAATTTGGAATATAAAGACAGAAAATAGCAACATCCTCAAGTGTTCTGCAAAATCCTTAGAACTTCGACTTCCTCTGACCCATGCCACTTCACTAAGGTTTGGGAGGAGAGGTAAAGAAGGAGAAAATACAGGTAAACAAAGAAATGATGGGTGAATCTAGGACTGAGGCTTGAAACCGTGGCTTCTGAGGTAGAAGGGTTACCTTCTCTTAACCAACTTAAGAATAAAAAGAGGTAAAATGACTTGTCTGAGTCAGTGGCAGAGCCTGATCCCCAGTCTAAATTACTTTCCTTTTGCCCCAGAGGGAGAGATTGACGTACCTGGCTGGAGAGAGATCAGCCTTGTTCCCCACTAGCACCACTGGCAGCCTACGAGGAAACAGCAGTTAACTACAGGATCTCCTACCACTCCCCAAGGACCCAAACCTCCTTCAGGTTAAAGCTGAACAACTCTCCATCAGATCAGGTAGGATCTAGGTCCTCGACGCTTCTGACGCAGACAATGCTCCCCTCTGCATCTTCCCACTCATTTGTGTCTTCCCAGGGACACTTACCGGGTTTTCCCATGGCCTTCATGCAGCTTTTGGTACAGACTTTCAATAACCTGGAAGCTTTAAACAGAAGAAACGGAACTATAACCTTAGTTCTGGGGTAGTTCTCAACTCCTCCCAAGTTCCCCACTCACAATCTTGGCTACTTACCTATGCAGAGACGTAACAGAATATACGAGCACATAACCATGGACCCCAATGATGAATGAATAGGGCAGAATGCTGTACTCATCCTAATAAGAAATAGAAACATCAACAGCTAGATCCATACCACTCAGATGCCAAAGGTTGGTAGGACAGCATCCAGTCCCTCCCTGGGTCACTCCCTACTCCAATCACTTCTACTCAACAGGTATTTACAGGGCAGCTCCAATAAGCCATACACACTGTTAGTAACTAAGGTGCTTTTCTCTTAATACTTTCCAGATGAGCCACAAAGGCTAACAGCCTTCATCTTATAGGGCTGAATCAGTGCATTTGGATTCCCTACCCAACTGGTACCTGTCCTGCAGTGTCCACCAGATGTAGGTGAAATTCATCTTTGCCAAGAGTCACTATCTTGCTGTAAGCTGAGGAAAAGAAAAGAAAGCTTGACATTGAGGTGCTCTGTAAGGCCAGCAATGTGTGCTCCCATACATTCTCCACCTTGGGGGTGATACAGATAGCCCAGGGTGTTCACAAAGACTCTAAAGAGGTATGTTAGGGGGCTTACTGTATACATCTACACTATTCTGGACTCAATACCTTGCAAAATGCACGCTAGCCACTCAGGATAGGACTGCTAAAGAAAAAATTAGATTTAATATCTAAATAAATCAGCCCTCTGGTACCAAGAAAACCCCAAACTATGGAGTGGGGTACCAAAGTCCTCCCTTTCCCACTTCTTCACACTATAGGGGTAAGGAGAAATCTACTCACTATTCTCCACTGTAGGATCGTAGCATTCCAAGAACTCGCCTTCCACAAATTGATGTGCTAAAGACGTCTTCCCTACATGGGGAACAGTGGTAGTTGTAATCAAATCATCCCCCCACATTCACATCAGTCCTTTCAGACTGTGGCCCTGGACCAAAGAGGACTCCGAATTAGCACACTAGTCTGTAAGTGCCCCAAGCAATGCTTTCCCTTTGCCTACCCTCAGACACCCTTTTTCCACCCTGAGTTTCCACACTGACTACAGAATGCATTCAGCACCGCGACAGGAAGCCTCTCCCATCTCCTTTCTCCATCCCACCCCACCTCACAACTGGGAAGACTAAGGATTCCCGATCAAGTCCGCCCCGCCCTAGAGCACCTGAGTCGATCTGCCCCACGCAGGCTGTGCCGGAGTCTTCAAATCCCGACCACACCCCTACCCCTGGAGTAACGCTGGAGACTACTCTGATGTTCCTGCAGGGAAGTCCACGTTAACTCTCTTATTTTCGCACTTCCCGCAGCCCTCCACGCACCACCACCTTTTTCTGCAGCCCTCTACACACCACCAGCCTTTCTTCCTCCACCCTTCCAGTCTTTGCTCTACACCCTCTTTCTTACGATGCCACCATTCCTCCCCGGTCGCGTTTCCGCGGCAGCGCGCCTCTTCTGGCCATAAAGCCGCGGTGCGTCCAGCTCTCTGCAGGGCGGCCACTCACCTACAGAGCGGTATCCGAGAATGACCACCTTCCTGTAGCGGACCAGCGGCATGGCAGGAGCACGCCCCAAGGGGCTTGCAGAACTGCGGGCTAACAGAGCCCGAAGAATAGGTCAGCGTGTAAGCACACGCGACTGCCAGTGCAGGAAAGTCTTTCACCCCGAAGCTGCCAGGGGCAAGCTAGAGGGAAACCAAAACAAGCGCCGCGCCCGGAGCGGGCCACGTGATCAAAACACAGCAAGACTAGCGCGAGGGAGCCGGGCGCCGGGGGAACTACTGTGCCGCGCCGCGCCGGGCTCCGCCCCTCAGGCTGCTCGCTATTGGTCCATTAGAATGAATAAGGGCGGGGCCGCCAGCAGGAGGGACGGGTGGGCCTCACGTGGAGCGGGAGAATCGGGAGTTGCGCGTGCGCAGACTGGGGCCGGTTCATTCATAAAGAAACAGAAAGGAACCCGGGGTCCTAGAGGTACTTGCGCATTAGCAGGCTAACGAGAATAGCTACGGAGAACCGTGAATCAAAAATTCCCGTTGTGATTACACTGGAGTTTCTGGTCAAAAGAGTCTAAGCCTCCCTTTTGCAAGGTCTCGGGATCCTTAGACAGAGTAAAAAAGGCCAAAATGCCAGTATAGTCCCTCTGCTCCCTCCAGCTTTTAGCCCCAGACCTTTTGTTTTCAGGTTTCCACAGTCTTCCAGCATCTAACTCAGAACTGCAATTCTTGCTCTTAAGAAAATTATTAGATTTGTAACCAGTTAGTTTGAGGTTTCGTTGTCATCATTATTATAATCAATGCATTCATTTATTCAGTAAATCTTGAGGCCACTCATAGAACGTGT